ATCTAATTATAGCTATAATAACGAATAACGAGTTATCACGATGAACCATACTTCATTTAGGCCGATGTCAGACTTTGCGAATCGCGCGATTCGCTAGCGTCTGCGGTCGCGTCGCGGCCAGTGAATCACTCAATTGGCTGGTACCGCAGTAGCGAATCGCGCGATTCGCAAAGTCTGACATCGGCCTTGGATGCCGTCGTCACTTATGCCGTATTGTCTGCACTCGACGTTTTCTCGTTTTTTGAAACAGAGAGTATATACTCCTTCGGGTGGAACTAATACCATGGTGTTTATGGTCAAACAGTTGCCATTATAGTGCTATGGGGCTGTACGTATACTCCCTTTCAAAAAACGAGAAGAGCGTCGGGTGCAGACCATACACCACAAGTGACGACGGCCTCCACAAAATGTAAATGTTTTCTGCCAATGAAATGATTAGCCTGTTGCAGTTGTATTCTATCAGTTGTCACTAATTACAACTATCATTTACCAAAAATCAGCTATCACTATGAACCACTACTAACCAGATTTACTTGGAGGCCGTCGTCACTTGTGGTGTATGGTCTGCACCCGACGCTCTTCTCGTTTTTTGAAAGGGAGGGTATATAATCCATCGTTGGACTACCATGGCGTTAATGGTCAAACAGTTGCCGTATAGTATATGGAGGGATCACAAGCCCCAAATGTTCCAAAGTCACGCTTGACCGTAACCATCAGTGCCATGCTGTCACTAAAACGCAAGCCAACTGCAACCCAACATCACTCACAAATTGTCAGCGACTATGGTAGCCTCCTGTATCTCTTTCCTTCCCTTCTCACACTAATTCTCTTGCACCCTAGCACGGCGACCAAAACGCTCTGCATCATGTTCGCCGAGTATAGCACATTCCGAATTCACCGCGCATTCTCCGTAAAACTTTCAGCCTGATCTCCATATTCAAGCTTATATGTCTGGACGCCCAGTAATGCTCACTTGTGCAAGTCCTTCAGGGTTTTCTCATTCAAAGGAAATTTGTGCTGCCTTAAAAATCACTCTAGTCCTTCTCTCCATTGCATTGGAAGTTTTTCCTTACATGATTTATTCTATCATAACTTTTATCACGACTAAAACTTCATGTATTGACAGTGAATCAACGTGATTGTTCAACAAAACAGTGTGAGACAATCAGACAAAGAATAAATTAAAGTCGATTTAAAGTACAGTGTTTGGACAACCTCGCACACAACAAATAAATTAAGTTGACCACGTATCTCTGTGCAGGGAAAGTTACGCTCTAGATGCTTCTTATTACTTATACGATACGATATGGCCGCATTAAGCACGTCACGTGCGAGCTAATAAATTTAAATCGTAAAAACTGGTCATTTTTTCAGAAGTTACTTTTCGGCGAAAAGCGCCGAAATAAGAAAAGGCAAAAAGAGCCTTCAATTTGTGCCTACTAATACAATTTTCTAGCATCCTGAACGAAACCTAACAAAAAGCTACCTGAAATTCACTCTTAAAGTTACAAATTTTAGCGCATTCAAATTCAAAAGGGAGGAAAACCTACACAAGATTCGCTAAACATCACTTAATACATCTAAATTAAGTTATACTCGTTTTCGTAATCTGAACAAAGCACCTTCGAGCGCTCGCTGTGCCCTGCTGGCCGCCTGAAACAAAATGATGAGTGTCATAAAAAAAAAGATGAGAAGGGTGAAAAAAGTTCAACTAACATAGTAAAATAGAGCTAAGTATCCGAAGACACCACAAGCTATGATCAAATCAAAAACAGCCGGTTTCACTCGCTCTGCTAAGAGGCGATCAGAAGTCCCTGGCCATATTTGCACTTCGTGCATTGATACAGGTGACACAGTAACCTGAAATCATCACAATCAGTTCCATTTCCTTTAAATAGAAGAGAGAAAACTTGATCTCACCTTCGCATGGTTCCCCACAGCTACTGCTAAATTTGCTGCACACGCAACGGTTGCTGCTTCATCTGCGACTGGTCGCGGTCGCGAGGCGAAAAGCCGCATAGCATGGGCTAATCGTTGGCGATCGACAGCATCACGCGATAAAACAGAAGTATCGGCAGACACACGAGGATCAGTGGAATAACCGCCTTCCGGTAACGAAAGCATATGTCCGAGTACAGCCTCAGCAATAGTACTAAAATGTATGCGATTTAGGTACGCGGAGGAGAAAGAAGCTTTTCTCACTTAATTGTTTAGTTCTGCTACATAAAGCCTAATCACTTGCGCATAGCTATCGGATCTGCCGTAGAACGTTTCAGTAGAGAGCGCCACTACACAATGACACAACCTCTTCAAAAATGCTCCTGTCACCTCCTCCTCCAGCATAGCACCTCTTATTGACACCACACGGGCATTCCACCTACTCGAACTCTTATGAAATTCACTAGGTCCTTTCATATTCCTTTCCACATAGAAACAGTATTTCGTTTGCAATTTTGAGCGCCCATCTACATAGATCCCATCCCCTATACATACAGAAACAGTGGGCAAACAAATAAGTGCATAAGTTAGAAGAAAACCGACCGAATGTTCTTCTCCAATGCGTCCAGACTTATTCGACTTGTTGTATCCAACATTGATTTTCTTATTGGATTATCATGGCTGGATAGGCGAGACAGAGTGACTGCTGGAAGACGTTTGATATTGAACCTGAAATTTAAACGTTGAGCCGGAAGGAACCGAACCTCATTTTACAAAATAACCAAATAAGTTTTAACAAGCAGTAAAAATAGCAGTAAAGAAAAATTGCATATACTCAGAAAGACTCAACGCCGTACATCAAATATCTTTGCATTTTTTCTCGCCAGAACTGACCTTCCAATAATTCAAAAAAAACAGTAGTAGATGTGTTGTTTTCTAAATCCGGAAAAAAACAGATTCATTTTCGGAGAGTGAAAATGGTTGAGGGCACAATGAGCTCCGTACAACCAAACGGGATGTGGGCGTAATATGAAGGGAGCGCCAATCACAAAAAGAAGAGAAATCCTGGCAAAAGGACTTTCTGGTAGATTTGTCGCCGCCTAGCCCTTTCAAAATGAGATAGCGAACGATGCCGATTACTTAGCAACAACAGCTCGCCAAATCAGCAACTAAATTAATGGGTGGAGCGGTTTAAAGCGTCACGGCTTCCAATTCGAAGCTATACTACGCAACCAATGCACCACCTTACACTATGACAAAACCGCTACCCTTATTTCCTAAGGCCGCTGACTACTGCGTCAGCTACATGAATATTCCCTGGTGATTCACCACTTGATAATTCTTTTTAGCGATTCGAATAAATTGACCCTCGTCCTCGTAAAGGCGTAAGACATCATGGCCTCAAGAGGTCCGCAAGAAGGTACAATGCCGAGTACCAACGAAATTATGTAGAAGAAATGGGGCACTATTCAACTATTACAACCCCAAAATCTCAAAATTTTATTTTTCGTCGAAACTTTGCACTATAGGGGTAATTCGGTGCCCTGATTACGAAAATGACATTCATTTTTGGCGTTGGCGCCATCTGGCGCCAGTTGGCGTCAGACTTGTGACTCTTGGGGAAAGGAGGGCTACGTGTGAGTAACCCACCCACCCTGTGATCTCACACGCTTCATCTTCAACGCACGGTACCTGATTTACCCATCCCGGGTCTCCCTATCCCCTAAGCTTAGTCCCAAGGCGCTATGTAAAGGTGAGAGAGCCCAGAAAAGCGGGAAGTATGCGGTAAACAGCGCTAATGTCAAAAACGAATGTCATATTCGTAATCAGGACATCAAATAACCCCTATACAGAACTTTACACCGAATTTGGTGAAAACATGTGTCGTGACAAGGTGGCGCCAACTGGCGCCAGATGGCGCCACCGCCAAAAATGAATGTCATTTTCGTAATCAGGGCACCGAATTACCCCTATAGAGGAAGTTTCGACGAAAAATAAAATTTTGAGATTTTGGAGTTTGTTAATGCGCGATGCCAAATACAAATGGTGCCAAAATACTGAGATAACTCACTTCTCGTGCTCCCATGCAGAGGGCTGATTCATGCTTATCTTCTTTGTGACCAGCTCTACACTTTGGTTGGGCGCAGCAAGGCGAAGGCGGCGAAGAAGGCGATCTGCAACAATGATTTTACACCAGAACTTTTCTTTCACGCAATCACCTGTAGCTGCAGTAAGATTCCCTTCGCCAAGGAATTATTCAATCCCCGTTGGATCTTCTAAGAACATTGGGCAGTTTTGAGACGTAACCATTTCGTAATTTACTCTCTTTTTTCTTTTGTAAATCTCACAAAAGAAAGATCAGCAGGTGGATCCAACCATTTGGAAAAAAGGCCTGATAATGAAAAAGGCTGATTTTGAAGATCGACTTCTGGAGTTTCCGCCATTTCCACGTTCTTTATTCGCTCGCTACTGAGTAGCCAATAGCAAAATTTTATCATGAGTTTTTGGTCACTGTTTAACCGAGTTTGCTTTTTGAGGACTTGAGATCAATTTGGCTCAGGAGCCGAAATCCCTTCGGC